CTTCCCTATCCCCCGCTGCTGCCACTGCTGTGGCCACCTGCGGGAGCTCCCTGCTCACCACTGCCACTACCTGTGGGTGGCTGCCATGCCCCCCCAGCCTCCAGGGGACAAACGTCATTCATGATTTCTCCCAGGTAGAAAAGAAACCTCATAGTGCACAGAGGGATAAAAAGACGTTATAGATAGGTTCCACTGGGTGGGAAAGTTCATTTTATGCAAATTAGGCTCAAATAAATGTTCAAGTAGCCTGTTTACCTTCTTGGTAAGATGTTTTCTATTGCACAGGACAGAGGTTGACGAAATGAATCTCCTGGCTGAGGCAGTTCTGTTGTGTGTTTTTGTTTTCAAAGTATGAAAATTCAGCTCAAAGAAAAGCCTGGATGGGGTACAGGTGGAATTCTCCAGATCTCTGGATGTTGGATTTTTGCTTCTTTTTTGTAAAAATTATGAAGTTTTCATTTCAAAGATGCTAACTGCAATCTATTGCATGTTTCAGGGATACAGGCCTTAGCAGGGTTAGTCTACAGGGAAAAATATGCAAAACTCTTGGCAGAGATTATATCTTGTATTAGACCAGCTAAATAGTTGCAAAAATTGTTTGAGCTGAATTTGCACACGGGGAAAACAAGCTTCACACAACAGAACTGCCTCAGCTAGGAAATTCAATCCATCAGCCTCTCTCTCCTGTGCAATAGAAAACATCTTACTAAGAAGAAAGAAAAAATTCAACACCTTGCTTGCCATCAGACAACTTGGAGGTAAACAGATTGTTTGAACTTTTACTGGAGTCTAATTTGCATAAAATGAAGTTTTCCAGCCAGGGGAACCTACCTATAACTTCTTTTTATTTTCCCGTGCACTATGAAGTTTCATTTCTACCTGGAAGAAATGTTACAATATGTGCATTCTACTTCATGGGTGCATGAACCTGAAAATTTGCAAATAAACATTTTATCTCCAACTATTTAGTTGGTCTAATAAAAAATATCACCTCTGCCAAGAGTTCTGCATGTGTATTGGATAAATGTACACTGTGTTTAACTACATAACACAATCCCATTTACCTGTATAGTAACTGGATGAGGAGCAGTGAAGCAGATTCAGCTATCAAAAGGCTACTACTAGAAGCTCTGAAATTTGACAGGAACTATTTAAGGCTGCTATCTCTTGTCATTTGAAAGGCTTCTGACAGCCTAATTGTGAAACTATTAGAAGCTCTGAAAATGACAGGAGTGAGTCACTCTCACAGATGCTAACACCACAGCACTGACACTACTGTGCATTTAATAAGCATTGCTTACACTTATGTCACTCAAGAGTCAGTGAGGATCTTGTGAGGGAACACCTGGAGGGACTGGATGTATTTAAATCAGCTGGTCCAAACAATCTCCACCCCAGAGTGCTGAGGGAATTAGCTGAGGTCATTGCAGGACCCCTGGCATGGCTGTACGAGCACTTGTGGTGCTCTGGTGTGGTGCCAGAGGACTGAAAGAGGGCCAATGTGGTTCCCATCTTCAAAAAGGGGAGG